AAGGCATGAAATATATGTAGAGGCAGATAAAATATTTAGACTAAATATGAGTGTTGCAAGGAAACATAAGGTTACAAGGGAGGAGCATGTGAGATTCATTAAAAATTCAACAAGTCGAAATGCTAAAAAGAGCAAGAGATGATGGATAGATACATAAAACTTTAATATGGGATTTGTTTTATTAAATAAAAGTAGATATTAGAAATTGGGAAAATACTATTATGTATATTGTCACAAGATATAATAAAAGATTATTACTATGTATATATAAATATTAGAAGTTGAAAGATTATTACTATGTATGTGGTGTTGTTGTTGTTGTTATTTAAATTGATCCAGACAATACACTGTTCACTAAGCACCTATGTTAGTTAAAGAAAAAAGTATAAATAAAATATATATTTAAAAAAAGGAGGTCAATTTTTGGACTTCTCGGGTGAGTTAATATTGAAACATCTATAGCATTTTTCAAGTACATCATTTAATTAGTTCAGCTTGCAAAACATATTTTGGATATTAAGAATCTTGCCATGAAATTTCCTGTGTGTACATATAATTCCATGATTTAGCGGTTGTCTATACTAGGTTCAAGCTGTACTGTGTAAGAATGTGATACCACAATTATGTACTTCTATACCTTTATTGTTTAACTCCCTAGAGTCAGAAATTATTTTCAAAAACTTCATATTTGTTTCATTACAAGTTTCATATAGCATGGTTAAATAGTCCTGTTCCCACCTTTTGGTTCTTAATTGAAAAATCAAATGTTTGCTTTAAAAATTAACATTTGTCTCTCATCATTTCATTATTTTTAAATTTTGCCTTGTCGAAGGAACAGTTATTTAGGAAAACAAATCTTGTGTAATTTTGGATGATTACTTAAATAGTGACCTATATTAATAATATTCCATCCATCATAGGTAGATTTTGATACTTGACATAGATTTATATTTCAGACAAAAAATATTCAAATAATCCTAATTACTTCTTCTAGGATTTGAAACAAAACTTCAGACAGGGATCCTTGGGACCTGACACAATGGAGACGGAAAGTGAGCAGAATTCAAATTCAGCCAGTGGCAGCTCAGGCTCTGGTGCAAGCACTCGCCCACAGATATCGCAAATGACTCTCTACGAGCGGCAGGCAGTGCAGGTGAGGATTAATCCTTATTCTTTAAAAATGTAATTGTGGCCTATATCAAGATTGTTTTAATTCTGAGGAAGTTAGCCAAGAAAAAAATATGGCTGAAGAAAGTGGAATTCATCAGACAATGGGCTTCCTTCAACTCCCTTCATGCTAGTGTGATAGAACAAAAACTCAAGATTATTAACATTTTGTTTTAGATTAAGCAGTACTTCCTTTCCTCAGAGCAGTTCCTCATTTACTCCAGTAATCTATGGTCTTCCCAGCTGGCGGCCTTTGCTTTTGTGATAACCGAAATAAATACTAGTAATTTACTTTTGTTCTTCTTAGATGAGGCATTATTCTCCATGGCCAATGCTAGGTAATGGTAAGGCCCTCTGGTTTTTAAATCACTTCAATATGATGTTTGACCAGGACAGAGGTAATATGAAATTGATGGAAGGAAAGAGACAGAACTATGGGAGCTCCATGTTGCTCCATGACCAATAGGAGTTTGCTCCAAAAGCCCATATGGACTTTGGTGAAAAATTTACTAATATAAATAATTAAGGCAATATATTCTACACAAACTGCAAAGGTGATGGTTAAAGGGGACATGACAGAGAATTTTAATGTAAGGAAAGGCACAAGACAAGGATGTCCTTTATCCCTTCTACTATTTAAGTGTTAAATATAACATTAGACAAGATTCAGTAATAAAAGGCATGGAAATAAAAAAAGAAAAATATAAACTACGGGTGTTTGCAGATGACCTGGTATTTATTCTAGAAGAACCGCAAGAAACTGGACCCAAATTAATAAAAAAATAGAAGAATATGGTGAAATTCCAGGATTGGAAATAAATAAAGAGAAAACCAAGATGCTAGCCAAAAATCTTACAGATAAACAGAAAAAAGAATTTATGAAGAAGACAGTCAGATAGTTAAGAAATAAAATACTTAGGAATTCAATTAACAGCAAGATGGGCAACTATTACAGAAGATAATTATACTAAGCTAAT